CCTTACCACACATGACCATTCGATTCAACAAGTCATAATTGTTAGCTAGGGTGAGCAATACCTGAGTGAACTCTTCTCTCATTGGGACAACCTCCATTTACTTGCTTTTTTCATTTGTAGGTTTCTTAGTTTAAAACCCAAAAACGTTTGCTAGATAACAAACTAAGCGATTGAAGTAGGGGTACATGGACCGGCCTGGGTTTGACAATTAAAACATACTCGCCCTATACTGCACCCGGCTGGAGTTTATGCTTGAGCTCTAGTCGAAATTAATTCGCGGTGTATTCGTGGTTAGTCAAGTTTTTGGCGTCGTTGCCGGGGACCCACGATCCATTATTTTGAAAAGGTCGTTAAGTGTTACACTAGCATTTTCTATCTTGCCTTTTTGTTTGTGTTTTGTGTTTCATGAAGGGTGGTTTTATGTGTGTTTGATTTTCCACTCTTTGTCTTGAAGGGTGGTTTGTGTTTGTAAGTATTGGATCATGGATCCTTATGATTTCACCCAAGTGTGGGGGTATCCACCACCACTCGAGAATGGTCACCCTGAAACTTCATGGGACGATCAAAATGGGGAAATTCAAGGACCGGATTCTACTAGCAACCTCCATTCCAAGAAGAGTAACCATGCTCATGGGGATACCAATAAGATTCCCCATACCAAGAGGTTTCCCTCTACAACTCAAGGTGAAATCCAAGTTGGAGTTGTCCATGGAGGCTTTTGTGGGACAAATCTCAAGACCATGTGCCACTCCACAACCGGATCCAAAAAGCGAATTAGAGCTCATGGTGGAGTGATTTGCTCGAGTCACCGACGAAGGATGCTCTAGCATGGACCTCCCAATTGCCAACCCTTTCGACTCAATCTTTCTTCGGGAATCGGAGGTGCTCCTTCGACACACGGAGAGGCTAGGAGTTCTCGTTGAGCAAGCATTTTCACAACTTGCTCACAATCACCTCCTTCCACATGAAGGAAGAGAAGAAGTTGGAGAGGCGAGCTATGAGAACTTTGGAAGAACGAGCTCCAGCATGGATTTCTAACCCATCCCTCCTCCCAGTTTGTCACTTGAAGAGAAGGTGGCACGAGCTTGTGCACGCCATCTCCTCTCACAATTGGAAGAAGAAGTGGAGATTGGATGGAAGGTCAATAAAGACTATGTGGAATGATAAGTCTCATCCCGAAGAGCTCTCGGGGTGAGGATGATCAAGAGTGTCTCATTGGCGACTCTCATCACTTTCCTCTTCCCGAGACCAATTTCGATTACCAAGTCACGAGGGAAGAGGATCAAGAGAATCACTTCTATGACCTTGCATGGCATCTTGCCCTCCAAACGGTGCTTGAAGACACGAATGGGAAAGAGAAGGAGGAGGTTGAAGAGGAGGAATTGAGCATTGAAGAAGGGGAAGAAGATCTTTATTGTTCCCAAGAGTAGGAACAAAGTGAAGAAGAAGGAAGGGAGGTTGAAGAGGAAGTTGAAAGAGAAAGTGGCGTCCAAGATGAGGACGAGGTCGAGGTGGATGAAGCATCCACAAATTACACTTGCTATCAAAGCTTTCCACCCGAATTTGATGCACTTTTAGAGAAGGACCCATTTGCGGCTCTTTGCCAAGCCAAGGCCAAACCATCGGTGATCCCTCTTGGTGGATGCGATGGAAGTCAACCGATGCTGGACTACATGGTGTGGGGCAAAGAGAAAGAAGAAGAAGAGGTCTCGTGGGTGGAGCCTCAAAGCCAATCAAGTTCATGAGCTCTCAATCGTGGATTCATCCAATGCTCGTGGCCTGAGACTCATATCATTGACGAGAACCTCAACTTCAAGGAGGTTCTTGGATGGACCAAAGCTTAAGGAGCAACTATCTATATTATGACGTAAAAGTAGCGCTTGTTGGGAGGAAACCCAATGAAGGTTTGTGTTTTATGTTAAGTACTAATAGCGTGTAATAACCTCGCCTTGCGCAAGTATGTGTGTGTATGTTTTTGTCTCCTTGAAGCTCTCTCCACTTCATCTCCAGCGCAATTTGGTCCTGACTTTCACTTGCCAAGCTATGCAGTAAAGTCGTTCTACCCTTTATTTTACGCCATTGTGGGCAATGTCGAGCTTAAGTGTTGGTGGGGGGGATGGGTGTAGTCTATCTATTATGTTTGTGTGTGTGATTGATTGCTTGAAGACAAGATGTTTCCCCAAATTTTAAAAATTTGAGGGCCCCAAGCATTGCATGTTCAGTAGCTGGGCACAGTCCCTACAGCCCCAGTACAGCGTGATCCAATTGTCAAGCTGCGGGACATCGTGGTAGGCCTTTTAGCAACAACGCTCATAAGTTTGGCAATATGGACAATTTATGGAGAAGGCCTCCAAAAAGTTCCTGGATCTTGAAGCTGGTCATAAGTCTCTTGAATCCAGTCAGAAGAATACACAGACTATTATACGGGACATGTAACTCCAGCTTGGAAGTATCCACAAAGTCGTGGCATAGCGGCCTCCGGGTACCTTAGAAGGTCATACCATCCCTAATCTCAATGAACCGGATGCTCACTTGAGCGTCGTTACCACCAAGAGCGGCAAGGTAACGGCAGATATCCCCGTCCAAGCTAGACAGGGGAAAGAACGACATGCTTTAGCACATCCATCCAATGAGGAAGAAATGGAGAAGGAGGTTAAGATGTCTACTCCTAAGCCACATCTAGTGGTGGAGTATGTACCTCAACTTCCCTTCCCCATTCAGATGCACAAAGACCGGCTAGAGCCTGAGTTTGCCAAATTCATGGCAATGTTGAAGCAGGTGAATATCAGCATGCCTTTCATAGAGGCACTGTCGAAGATGCCCAAGTACGCGAAGTTAATGAAGGATCTTCTCACCGACAAGAGTAAGCTCTGGGAGCTCTCGACGGTGATGCTAAATGAGGAGTGTTCTGCCATCCTGCAGAACAAGCTATCAGAGAAGAGCATAGACCCTATGAGTTTTAATATCCCTTGCATAATAGGTAGCTTGCATGTAGTGAGGTCCTTCGCAAATTTAGGAGCTAGCATAAACATCATGCCATATAAATTGTTTCAGAAGCTAGGCCTTGGTGAACCCAATAATACTAGGATGAGCATTCAGTTAGCTGATCAATCTGTTGTGCATCTTGGGGGCATTGGAGATGATCTGATAGTTACTGTAGGGTCATTTGCATATCCTACTAATTTTGCGATTCTTTATATAAATGAGGATTTGGAGGTTCCTTTGATTCTAGATATACCTATTCTTGCCACCGCCAAGGAACTCATTGATGTGAATGACAACAAGTTGATTTTGCGGGTCGGGGGTGAACAAATCACCTTTTCTATTTCTGATAATATGTAACACCCCCAGTTCCATGATGATTAGGAATGTGGTTCCTGATTATGATATTGAAGTCACTATCACGAGTGCGAGTACTAATGATTTCCTCGAGCACTGTCTTTTGCTAGGGGACCCGGCATCACAAGAGCTGCAGCTCACGGAGTTGGAAGGCACACCAATCAAGGGGCAAGAGAAGCCAAGTCAATCCACGTCTCGCCCCAGATCGCCACGTCATTGGAGGAGCCACAAGAGCTTGAGCTTAAACCCCTCCCCTCTCATCTGGAGTATTCATTTCTCTGGGAGGGAAATAAGCTCTCGGTCATTATGAGCACGAAACTGACCCCCGAGCAAAATAGCGGGTTGGTGGCTCTATTGAAGAAGTACGCCTGGGCCATGACATGGAAGATCACGCATATGAGGCATTAGCCCATCCTTCTATTCCCACAGAATTCTGATGGGGGGGTGATGTTAAGCTAGACCGATAGCCGCAGCGTAGTATGACTCTGATAACACCAAAATCGGAGGGTATGTTTTGTTCCATTCGTGTGCTTAAGCGTTTAAACATTGTCAAATATATCCCTATTTCGTTCATATTCAATTTTGATGTGATTATAGGGTGTATTTTTCAATATGTGCAAATTAGGAACAAAACAAGGCCACAAGTGTAGAAAAGGGGCAAGGATCAAAGATCGTGGCCTAGAAGAAAAAGATTACAGCCGGGATTTCTAGTCATGAAGACTCACTGAATATCGCAGCCTAGAAGCCAAAGATCGCGACCGCGATCTTGAAGGCCCAGGGCGCGAACTTCGCGTGGAACGAGCCTTGGAGAAGCAGAGAGTTTCCCCATTCGCATCACAACCAACGTTCACTTTGCCCGAGAGGAAGATCGGTGTCACGACTCGAGGATCGCGATCGCGAAGTAAGCCCGCGATTTTACCGCTATAGAAGACCATAACGACGTCGCCTTGAGATCGTGACCTATCCTCAGAAGATCCCGCCTGCGATCTCCTAGCCTCTGGCCCGAACTTCCCCGAGTCCAGAATGCTTATAAATAGAAGACCCATTTCCCCATTTTAAGAGAGTTGAGTTTGGGTGAAATTCCTGGTTCTAGAGGAGAAAAGAGAGAGAAGTTGAAGGAAGGAGAAGAGAAGGAGAAGAAGGAGGAGTTAGGAGCAAGGAGCAAGGAGGATCTTCCCCAACTTCAAGTCTTCTCTATTTCTACCATGTATTTTCTTCACTCCTTTATGGATTGGGCATCTAAGGTACTAGGGGTTCTAAACCCCAAACCTTGGTTTTGGGGTTTATTATGTATGTATGGATATTTTAGGGTTTGAATGAATGAATGTGTTTGTCTAGAAGATTCTTAATGTCACTCTTTTCTAAATGATGACGTTTGGGCAACTAACCCCAATCTTCTCTCTTAGGAGGAATGATGTCACATCCCGATCTCTAAAACCCTTAAATAACAGTTTTGCTCCGGAGCATATTTAAAATTTTGAAAGAAAGAAATAATAATGTGCTCGAAATACCAATACTGAAAATAAGTCTTATAATTTAAAAGCAAAGCCCTAACATTTGGGCAAACCTCAATCCATAAAGTCTTATCCTTTTAAATCTCCAGTCATTACTCATAATCATAAAGCAAATAACTAAAGATTACAAATGTTGCTTACTCCGATCCGTGATCAGACATCTTCAGAAGTGTTCACGTGGTCCACCTCGGGTAGCCTGCTCTCTCACTGGATGCTCCTCGACTGGATGCTCCCTAGCTCCTCCTCTACGACCTGGTGAGTGGGTTGGGGTCAGTCTACGCCATTACTTAAACTTGAAGCACTTACGGGTATTCCCTTAAGTGTTCACCTCAAAAACCCGTGGAAGTTATTTATACTTCCACCCTTTAAACTTTAACTCTTAAAAACGTGGGAGTTGTTGTTACTCGCCACTCTCAAAATCTTAAATCTTTGACGACTCTGGGATCCCCTCACTAACTAGTCCAACCGCCCAGCTCATACGTATGAGGGCCAACATAGGCCTTTCCTTAAACCTTTTTATGGGAGTAATCTATTCAACCCCATAAACCTTAAGAGTATATCATACTCTTCCTTTAAACTTCATGTGATGTCTAAGTGATTCATCCACATGTTCCTTAAGAGCAAACTTGCTCTTCCTTTAAACTTTCACTGGGGCGGGGGACTGTCATTAGTGAACTATCTTTAAATCTTTTCACCCTAATTTAATTAGGAGTGAAATACCTCTTAAATATTGATCCTTAAAGATCAAACAACCTTCATTAAATAAACATAAATATAAAAGCTTTAAGTAAATACAGAAAGCTCAAATAATCACCGCGAATAATATCTCAAATAGATCATGCTTTATCAATCACGACATGATTCAATCACTGGCATACAATTCACGTAACACGCATACTTTAAAAACTCGTAAGGCAATTACTTGAAAACACGTAAGGCGTAGAATTTACCCCCTTAAACCACTCACCTCTTGTGGCGATTACTTAGTTCCCTTGATGTGGAACCCTTACTCCGATTGCTACCTTAAACCTATAATTTAAACGTATATCCTTTTAGTCGATACGGCTCAATTTATCACCTTTAATTCACTAAAAACTATCCTCCTTAAATCTATAATTTTAAAATATCAAAACGTCATTCTAGATTCTTGTAAAATTATCAAATGGGTCAGGAGCCTTCTTTTACTATTTTAGTTAAATAAAACCGTCCTTAGTTTAATTTTTATAGATAGTAAATCACTTCCTAAAATCTCCAAATTTATTATGAGTAACCTTATAGCACCCTAGTTACATATAAAATTATCAAACCTACTGACGTCGCTTAAACAGTATTTTAATTTTCTAAAACTGATGTTCTACGAATTTGTATAATTATAAATACAGCTCATAAAATTCTGCTATTATTGATAGGCGAGATCGGAAGAGAAGGGCGAGGTCGGCTGGTGGTGGCGATGTGTTTGACGGCGGGGAGATGGGGTGGTGGCGTTGGAGGAGTCGAGTGGAAGAAGAAATGGAAGGAAGGCAGCTGGGTTTCTCGTTTATTTGCCGAGAGGAATAAATTGAGCTGCTTCACTTGTACAACTACAATCTATATTCTAAGCTTCCATTTGCCAATTTAATGGCAAACTAGTCGACAATGGCTGGCCTCCTCTCATTACAGTTCACGTGAACCCCATTCCTCCATCACCTACCAAGATCTAAATTAATGACATCCCACTCACCTGTTGGAGGTTTTTTTTTTCTATAACGAGAAACTAGTGGGCGAGGGACATTTGGGATCAATAGTCTGGGACGCTAGCTTACATGGGATTGATATGGGAGGGGAATTATTTGTTGGGGTGGGAACGTGGGGGTGGGTGACGTGGGGTGGTTTTTCCTTTTTTTTTTTTTTTTTTTCTTACTAATAATAATAGTAATAATTATAATTATTATTACTATTCCTAATCCGCAGTCCTTTATACGTAACCCTCTAACCAATCGTTCATTTATCATGATCGAACATGAACTTAAATGTCGGGGTGTTACATTTTCTCCACCCTTATAAAAATTTCGTCCCCGAAATTGGAACTGTTGGTTGGAGAATAAGATGCCACTAATTGTGCCGAGGTAAATCGTATTCAATTAGAATTGGATATAGTGGGATGTAACATTTCCCTCCCACTTAAATAAATTTCGACCTCGAAATTTTGGGTGAACTGCCTTGTTGTACTTTGGCTGAACAGAACTTAATCACCGGGACTATTATTAAATAGTGTGTATTGAGAACTGAACGCTAAAATACATTGGGACAAACCGACCATCGATTTAAGCATCGTTAAACAATTCAGGGTATTTCTCTCGCATGCTAGTTTCTGTCTCCCAAGTCGCAGCCTCGTTGCCCTGGTTCCGCCATATCACCATTACCATTATAATCTTTTTTTTTCTCAATTTCTTTTCCTGTTTATCCACGATCTTGACTGGTGTTTCCTCGTAAGTCAAATCGTCCTCCAAATGGATGTCCTCATGCCTGATCACATGTTCAGGGTTAGATCGATACGCCCTTAGCATGCTTACATGGAAGACATCGTGAATTTTAGATAGGCTAGGAGGTAAAGCTAGTCGATATGCTAAGGGTCCCACACGCTCCAGCACCTCGTATGGCCCGATATACCTCGGACTAAGCTTTCCCTTCTTGCCGAATCTCATTACTCCCTTCCAAGGAGACACCCTCAGAAATACCATCTCACCCACTTCATGACTGCGTGGGTTTCCTGGCCTCTGAGCATTACTTTTCTGCCGGTCCTGGGCCACCTTCAAATTTCGACGAATTGCCTCCACCTTTTCCACTGCCTTCTGTACCATATCCGGACCTTCTAGTTGTCGCACTCCTTCTTCATCCCAGTATAGTGGTGTGCGACATTTTCTCCCATACAGTACCTCATATGGAGCTGCTTGTATCGAGCTGTGATACTGGTTATTGTAAGCAAACTCCATTAGGGGCAAATGCTCGTCCCAAGCTCCCTCCATCGTCAATACACACGCCCTTAGCAGGTCTTCCAGCGTTTGAATCGTCCTCTCTGATTGTCCATCAGTTTGGGGGTGATATGCAGTAGAGAAATGCACCTTAGTGCCCATAGCCTTCTGGAGACTTACCCAGAATCGTGCCGTGAAGCTAGGATCGCGATCAGACACGATGCTAATTGGAACTCCATGTAGCCTTACTATCTCTCTCACATACAATCTAGCCAGTTCTTCCAGCCCTGGCTTGAACTTGATTGGTATAAAATGAGCCACCTTTGAGAATCGGTCTACAATTACCCATACTCCGTCATTTCCCTTCGGGGTCCTCGGCAATCCATACACAAAGTCCATAGTGATCTTCTCCCAAGTCCATTGTGGAATCTCCAGCGGTAGGTGTTCAATGACCGGGGCTTGATGCTCAGCCTTAATCATTTGACATTCCAGGCACTGGTAAACATGTGCTGCTACATCCTTCTTCAATCCTGGCCACCAAAAATGCTCCTTGAGGGTACGATACATTTTTGTGGCACCAGGGTGCATTGCATATGGTGCAGAGTGAGCCTCGTCCAGAATGTCCTTTCTCAACTTGTCGACATCCGGCACACACAATCTTCCTTGATACATCAGTACACCATCTACCAATTCAAATTTGGTGTCCTTCCCTTCTAACACCCGTTTCTTATAATTCCCCAATTCTGTATCTTCACTCTGCTTCTCCTTGATACGTTCCTGTAACATAGGGCGAACCTTCAAGGTTGCTAACAGCTTCGTTACTTCTTCTAATTCCAATTCCACGTTCATGGCCCTCAAAGAGACCAATTCAGGTAAAGGACTCTCTCTCTTCCTACTCAATGCATCAGCTACCACATTTGCCTTTCCTGGGTGGTACTTAATAGTACAATCGTAATCGCTTAACAACTCCATCCACCTCCTCTGTCTCATGTTCAACTCCTTCTGATCAGTTAAGTGTTGGAGACTTTTGTGATCAGTAAAGATGGTGAAAGTCTCGCCGTAGAGATAGTGTCTCCATAGTTTCAAGGCGAAGACCACTGCTGCCAACTCTAAGTCATGGGTGGGGTAGTTCACCTCGTGGGGTCGTAGTTGCCTCGAAGCATACGCAATCACCTTCTTATCTTGCATCAGCACGCAACCCAACCCTTGATAGGAAGCATCGCTATAGATGGAATACTCCCCACCGCTGGTTGGTAGTGCCAACACGGGTGCAGACGTCAACTTCTTCTTCAGCAACTCGAATGCAGCTTGACACTTCTCGTCCCATAAAAATGCCTTCCCCTTCTGCAACAATTGAGTCATGGGTCTCGCAATACTGGAGAAGCCTTCTACAAACCTCCGGTAGTACCCAGCTAAACCCAGAAAACTCCGTACTTCGGAAACGTTCTTTGGTGGAATCCAGTTTGTCACAGCTTCAATCTTCTTTGGATCCACCTCAACTCCACGACCAGAGATCATATGTCCCAAAAATAGGACTTCGTCTAGCCAGAAATCGCATTTAGAGAACTTGGCATACAACTCTTCCTGCTTCAGTTTCTGTAATACCACCCTTAAATGCTCTTCATGATCTTTCTCGCTCTTAGAGTAGATGAGGATGTCATCAATGAATACGATGACAAACTTATCTAGATATTCATGAAGAACTCGGTTCATCAAGGCCATGAAAGCTGCCGGTGCATTAGTCAAACCGAACGGCATGACCAAAAACTCGTAGTGGCCATATCGTGTGCGAAATGCCGTCTTAGGTATGGAGCCATCTGCTACTCTCAATTGATGGTATCCAGACCTCAGATCAATTTTTGAGAACACTTTTGCTCCTTGTAGCTGGTCGAAGAGATCGTCTATCCTTGGCAGAGGATAACGATTCTTGATGGTTGCCTTGTTCAACTTTCTATAGTCGATGCACAGTCTCATACTGCCATCCTTCTTCTTCACGAACAACACTGGTGCTCCCCACGTTGATACGCTAGGGCGGATGAAACCCTTCTCCAATAGCTCTTCTAACTGTTCCTTCAGCTCCTTCAACTCCACTGGTGCCATGCGGTATGGAGGAATGGATATTGGTGCTGTACCAGGAACCACTTCAATATCAAACTCCACCTCCCGTTGCGGCGGTAACCCAGGAAGATCTTCGGGGAATACCTCGGGGTATTCTCTCACAATAGGCACATCTTCTATCTTCTTCTCTTGCACCTCCTTGATATGGGCCAAGTAGGCTTCACATCCTTTTTGGATCAACGAGAAGGCCTTCATCGCAGAGATTAAGCCTCCTGGGATCAGCTTTCTGGTACCCTTGAATAACGCCGTGCCCTTGCCCTCAATTTCAAGGCTAACCTCCTTCTTGTAACAATCCACCCTTGCTCGGTTTTTGGACAGCCAATCCATACCCAGTATGACGTCAAACTCGTCAAACGGTAGTATGATTAGATTTGCTTCGAACTCGTAACCAGCCACTGTGATAGTGCAATTCCTAATGACGGAATCGACTATCAATGTATCCCCTACCGGGGTTCTCACCCCTAAGTTCTGACCCAACTTCACTGATGGTATTCTTAAGTTTCTAGCAAACTTTGTAGAGATAAATGAATGCGTAGAACCAGAATCGATGAGCACAAAAGCTGAATGTCGGTAAAGAGTAATCATACCCGTCACCACTTCAGGTGCAGCATCAGCCTCTTCTCTCCTCATGGCGAAGATCCTTGGTTTCCCAGCTGCTTGAGACCCCTGGCCCCTATCATTACGGATGGACCGCCCAACATTTCCTCCATTGTTGTTGAAAGATCGATTTTGCTTATTGCCAAACTGGTACCCAGTGTGAGTTTTGCCTCCTCCACCACGAACAGACTGTTCAGACTGAGTCCTCCCTTGCCCTCCCTTCTTAGGGCATTCTCTGGCAAAATGGCCTGGTTCGTTGCAGTGGAAACAGACCCCCAAGTGAAGCTTGCATTCTCCCGGATGAATCTTCCCACACTGGTTGCAAGGACCCCTGTTACTATAGGTCGGACCCGGCATAGTCGAACCAGCCCGGCTTTGAGTGCCTCCATAACTGGGTGGACCATTCGGCCTCCTCCTGATCTGACTCATCTGTCTCGGTCCCTCTGTGAAGCTCATAGCCTTTCTCTTATGACCATCTCGTTGTACCCTTTCTTCGTACAAGCTCTGTTCTACCCTTTCCACTCGGAGGGCTGCCTGATAAATCTCCTCTCTGCTGTTCCATACATGTGCACTCAGGTCCCTCATAAGGGTAGGCTTCAGGCTCTCTAGGTAGTGACTTCGTTGAATCTCAGCATCCTGGAACTGTGGCCCCCCATAAGGGAGCAGTTTATCAAACCGGGATGTGTACTCCGCCACTGTTTCTCTTTTTTCACTTCCCCACTTCTGCCTGATCATAAGGAATTCCCTCTGTTGCTCGATCCGATAAGACATTGGTATGTAGTGGTCTTTGAACAGTTGCACGAACCCTGGCCAAGTGATGGCTGGTGGATCCTCCTGACTGGCTGGCTGTGTAGCCCACCAGCGGTAAGCAGCACCCTGTAGTAGGGACACTGTCAGCAACACTTTGTCCTCGTCATCTGCTCGCATCTCCTGTAGAGTGCGAGTGACTTTTGAAAGCCACAGATCAATCTCCATGGGATCCGTCGAACGATCCCCGTAGAAATCCTCAACCTTCCTCTTTCGGAACGTATCATAATCTGGAGGGCGCCTAGGTTGCGGTGGTGGTGGAAGGTTGATGTGGGCATTACTAGCTCTGCATATCCATAAGGCCCTTTTAGTAATCGAGTTACTTTTCGCAATACGATTAGAGTAGACTGGAGATTTATAAATCCTTAAAAGAAATCCTTGACTCGTTTGGCCAAACCTTTAACATAAAACACATTTTCTTTTCCTTTAAGACGAAAATGCCTTTTAAAACCAAGTCTGATATTCCAGTGTTCCCTGGGAGACCAAGGAACAGAGGAAGACCAGCTCTGATACCAAAATGTCACATCCCGATCTCTAAAACCCTTAAATAACAGTTTTGCTCCGGAGCATATTTAAAATTTTGAAAGAAAGAAATAATAATGTGCTCGAAATACCAATACTGAAAATAAGTCTTATAATTTAAAAGCAAAGCCCTAACATTTGGGCAAACCTCAATCCATAAAGTCTTATCCTTTTAAATCTCCAGTCATTACTCATAATCATAAAGCAAATAACTAAAGATTACAAATGTTGCTTACTCCGATCCGTGATCAGACATCTTCAGAAGTGTTCACGTGGTCCACCTCGGGTAGCCTGCTCTCTCACTGGATGCTCCTCGACTGGATGCTCCCTAGCTCCTCCTCTACGACCTGGTGAGTGGGTTGGGGTCAGTCTACGCCATTACTTAAACTTGAAGCACTTACGGGTATTCCCTTAAGTGTTCACCTCAAAAACCCGTGGAAGTTATTTATACTTCCACCCTTTAAACTTTAACTCTTAAAAACGTGGGAGTTGTTGTTACTCGCCACTCTCAAAATCTTAAATCTTTGACGACTCTGGGATCCCCTCACTAACTAGTCCAACCGCCCAGCTCATACGTATGAGGGCCAACATAGGCCTTTCCTTAAACCTTTTTATGGGAGTAATCTATTCAACCCCATAAACCTTAAGAGTATATCATACTCTTCCTTTAAACTTCATGTGATGTCTAAGTGATTCATCCACATGTTCCTTAAGAGCAAACTTGCTCTTCCTTTAAACTTTCACTGGGGCGGGGGACTGTCATTAGTGAACTATCTTTAAATCTTTTCACCCTAATTTAATTAGGAGTGAAATACCTCTTAAATATTGATCCTTAAAGATCAAACAACCTTCATTAAATAAACATAAATATAAAAGCTTTAAGTAAATACAGAAAGCTCAAATAATCACCGCGAATAATATCTCAAATAGATCATGCTTTATCAATCACGACATGATTCAATCACTGGCATACAATTCACGTAACACGCATACTTTAAAAACTCGTAAGGCAATTACTTGAAAACACGTAAGGCGTAGAATTTACCCCCTTAAACCACTCACCTCTTGTGGCGATTACTTAGTTCCCTTGATGTGGAACCCTTACTCCGATTGCTACCTTAAACCTATAATTTAAACGTATATCCTTTTAGTCGATACGGCTCAATTTATCACCTTTAATTCACTAATACCTATCCTCCTTAAATCTATAATTTTAAAATATCAAAACGTCATTCTAGATTCTTGTAAAATTATCAAATGGGTCAGGAGCCTTCTTTTACTATTTTAGTTAAATAAAACCGTCCTTAGTTTAATTTTTATAGATAGTAAATCACTTCCTAAAATCTCCAAATTTATTATGAGTAACCTTATAGCACCCTAGTTACATATAAAATTATCAAACCTACTGACGTCGCTTAAACAGTATTTTAATTTTCTAAAACTGATGTTCTACGAATTTGTATAATTATAAATACAGCTCATAAAATTCTCAAATTATTATCCAGTCATTAAACTAATATTCTCTAATTTATAAAATTATCAAATCATAAAAATATACACTAAAACGCGTCAGAAGTAATCATGTCCATAAGCAAACACTACTTTCGGTCAATTATCAGAATTTTAATTACCAATCTGCTCATATTAAAACATGGAGGACTAATCTAGATATTTTCCTATGGCCATTTCAGCTGCGTGCAGTACCTGGAGCTCACGTCTCAAACTTTGGAGGCTCGGTTCTCCTTTGTCCGACGTCCAAATTCGATTTCGTCGATACCGGAGTGCTCCTGGGGTCGTCCTCTACGCGATGGTACCAAGGTTTCGAAGCTTGGTTGAAGTCGACCACGCCGGGATCGCCGTCGCAACTACGTCCATCATGGGGTTTGTCGGGTTAATCATGGTTTAAACGAGCTCAAAAAGGTTTGAGATCGAGGTTCTCACCTATCGGACTTACGAGAAGGGATGGCTGAGTGATTTCGTTGAGCAGAAGGAAATCGTCCCAAACTTGGCGTCGCTCGGAGCTCGCGTGGGAGGAAATGATCGGGAAGAAGAGTTGGGTCGTGCTCCTGGTCGGCCGACGGACGTGCTGGGATTATATGAAAATGAGATGAAATGGGGCGACGGACGAACAACGCTCGCTTGCGTTAATGGAAGGGCAGTTGTCTTTGTTACTAGTTGGCGAACGTGTGGAGAGTCGTTGTGCAGCTGCTTGCTTAGCCTGCTATTATTGATAGGCGAGATCGGAAGAGAAGGGCGAGGTCGGCTGGTGGTGGCGATGTGTTTGACGGCGGGGAGATGGGGTGGTGGCGTTGGAGGAGTCGAGTGGAAGAAGAAATGGAAGGAAGGCAGCTGGGTTTCTCGTTTATTTGCCGAGAGGAATAAATTGAGCTGCTTCACTTGTACAACTACAATCTATATTCTAAGCTTCCATTTGCCAATTTAATGGCAAACTAGTCGACAATGGCTGGCCTCCTCTCATTACAGTTCACGTGAACCCCATTCCTCCATCACCTACCAAGATCTAAATTAATGACATCCCACTCACCTGTTGGAGGTTTTTTTTTTCTATAACGAGAAACTAGTGGGCGAGGGACATTTGGGATCAATAGTCTGGGACGCTAGCTTACATGGGATTGATATGGGAGGGGAATTATTTGTTGGGGTGGGAACGTGGGGGTGGGTGACGTGGGGTGGTTTTTCCTTTTTTTTTTTTTTTTTTCTTACTAATAATAATAGTAATAATTATAATTATTATTACTATTCCTAATCCGCAGTCCTTTATACGTAACCCTCTAACCAATCGTTCATTTATCATGATCGAACATGAACTTAAATGTCGGGGTGTTACAAATGAGTTCTAGGAATCCAGGGCCTAAGTTCTATCTTTTCTTTGCTTTGCTTTTCTTTATTTATATTAACACAATGTTTAATTATCTCTTTATTTTCATTTTACCTTTCGTACCTTAAATATTCTGTCGCTAGTAGTAGTACTTATTATATGTAACACCCCGATATTTGGGTGTAGGTTCGACCAAAAGATTGGATCGACGATTATGTACGAAGCATGAAAATCGTAAATTAGAAATAATAATAATAATAACATTAATAACTAATGTTATTATTGTTATTATCTTCATCCTAATAATCACCATCCTCATCTGCACGTTACCCCAGCAACAAAAAAAAGGATGGACAAAAAAAAAACCCAAACACCATTACACTCTTACACTCCCATCTAATTAAACGCCACCAAATTAATCTCCATTCCTTAACGTACCAATCTCTCTCCCCTCTCCTCTATAATTAACAAAAACGTTGGCGGTGGAAAAGGAATTCAACCGACCCCATATCTCTCGTCCTCTCTGCCCTAGCAAAACAGAAGCTGCAATAATTGAACAATAGCGACCCATCCATCTACCTTGGCAACCATTTCTTTTTCAATCTGTAGCAGTAGCAGCAAGAAGCCTAGCGACAGCATCAAGAGAGCTGCCTCCATCGACGACAGCGTGTCCTCTGGCGTTTTAGAGATAAGGTCCCCGATCTCCCCTGTCCCAAGTTCGAACCTTAAACTTCGTTTAACCCAACAAATGCACACGATGATCGTAGCTCCGACGGCAGCCTCGACGTAGTCGATCTCAACAAAGCTTCGAAACCTTGGTACCATCGTGGGGAGGGAGATTTCAGGAACATCCTGGTTTTGCCGGAATTGAATTTCAACGTCGGACGAGGAAGATACGAGCCTCAAAAGCTTGGGGCGTGAACCGGATAGTTCAGGTACTAATCTGTCTATTCGAAAAGCATAAGGATTGTGGCGGTAATTTTGTTTCCTAGAAAATGTCCAGTTTAGTCCCTCATATTTTTGGTTCGAGCAGCTTAGTCTCTAGTATTTTGAAAGATAACAATGGGCCGAAAATAGAATTTTCTCAAGGTTATTATTATTCGTCCACATATTGTACGAACTTTTATGAGTTGTTAATTTTATAAACTAGGGGATATTCGTGGGATGTATGAATATAAATTTGAGAATTTTTGGAGCTTTATTTATAAGTGTAAGAAAATAGGTAAAAAGGAAGTTTTAACCAAATAGAATATTATTCAAGCGAGTATGTTTGATTTAATAATTTTAATAGAATTCAAATACCCATGAGTTTATCCATAATTCATTTGGTTGTTTTTAGAGTCAATTTTTATAATTATGAAAATTGGTAAGATGTCAATTTTAATTGATTAAATTACGGTTTGCATATCTTTAATTAATTTATTATTTTTTTTTTTTGAAAAACTATAATACTGGTTGTTTGTTTTAAAGTTAAGATCAGAAATTTTAGATGTTTTTAATGCAGATATAAAATATATTTAGGTTGCAAGTCAATAGGAAGAAGGGGTTAATTACTATGTAAATTATAGTTAATAATTTTAGTTTATGTTATGAATTATCCAAAGTCAGAATTTGGAATTTTTAAGATGGAAAGGGTTTGTTGGAAATTTAGGAGATTTATTTAATGGATTTTTTATGTTATTGGTAATATGTTAAGTCTTGTGAATTTGGGGAAAGATTTCTAGTGTTTGAGAAAAATTATTTCAAGTGATTAAGGGTCTTTTAAAGGAATTTTGGGACTAAGCTGAGAGGACGGAAAATTCTAAGGAATACCGACTAAGAGTAATTAATCTCAATTGATAGGATTAAGTAAGCGATCAAGTTAACGATCTCCGCGTCCAACGAATTAAAGTATCGACACTTGAGAGGTGAGTGTAAAGGGGGTAAATTCTACGCCTTACGGTATTTCAGCTTTGAGGTTGACCGCTATGTGCTATATATGCCTTTGTGTGTTTGTTTGATGCATGTGATTGCGTGTGATTTATGATTCCAGTTATACATATGATAATGTGTGCTATATTTATAAATAAGTTGAAGTTCAAGAACACGCTTTCTTTTCAGAAGTACTTCACCTTCAAGAAGGTGAAACCGTTTTAAGACTTTTAGTCACTAGCGTCAGTCCGTTGCCATTTGAGATTTTGAGATAGAGCAGCATTTATGCTCTTAAGACTTTTAAGATGAGCAACAGTTATGCTCTTGAGATATTTTAAGATGAGCAGCAGTTATGCTCTTGCGAATCGTGGAAGAAGAGCCTTCCACGATAAGTTTAAGTTTCAGGAAAGCCTAGATGGCTTCTCATACGTATGAGTTGGCAACCGGACTAGCTAGTGAGGGATCCCAGTGTCAGTCAAATATTTAAGTGTGAGATTTGAGCTTTAAATATAAAATTTTAAAGAGTAGAAGTATCATCCACTAGTTTAAGCTAAGTTATCAAATAAGAAATACTAGGGTTTTCAAATGTAAGGGCGTAGACTGACCCCAACTCACTCTCCAGATCGTAGAGGAAATCCTAACCAGCCAGCTCGTGATCAGCAAGCTAGAGGAGCTCAACACCATCGTCCTTGAGAGATGTCGAGCCAGGCGTCAGAGTAAGCACCGAAGAACTTTTCAAGTTATTAAGACTTTATGGTTAATAGTTAAAGACTGGAGATTCATTTCTTATGGACGATTTAAGTTTTGCCCACGTGTTTAGGGCTTCGATTTGAGATATTAAGATGTTTGAGTTTGGTATTTTATTTAAAGTTGTGTTATTTGAGATTTTTAATTATACCCCGGGGTAGAAATGTCTTTTTCCAAGTTCAAAGTAGTGGGATGTTTCATTTTGGTATTAGAGCCGGTCTTCCGCTGTTTCTTGGTTCCCAAGAAATACTGGAATGTCGGTCTCAGTTTTTAAAGGTTTTGTTTTTAAATACTTTAAGTCAAAGTTTGGCCAAACAAGTCAAGGATTTCTTTTAAGAATTTAGAATCTCCAGACTACTCTAAACCATATTAAGGAAGAAATAACTGAGTTCTAACGAGACCCTGTGTATCTACAGTGCAAGTGTTGGCCAGAACCCCACACCACCAGTACCACCACCAGAGAGACGTCCCCCGGACTATGTAGGTTTCCAGAAGAGAAAGGTGGAAGATTTTAAGAGGGAGCATTCAACGGACCCCATGGAAGTAGAGCAGTGGCTAGCCAAGGTCACTCGTACGCTGGTCGAGATGAGAGCTGATGACGAGGATAGAGTACTGCTGACAGTGTCCTTGCTGCAGGATGCTGCATACACCTGGTGGACTACCCAGCCAGCTAGTCGAAAGGACCTACCGGCCATCACTTGGCCAGAGTTCGTGCAGCTATTCAAAGACCACTTCATACCGGAGGCCTACCGGATCGGGAAGCAGAGGGAATTTTTGCTGATCAGGCAGAAGTGGGGCAGTGAAGGCAGGGAAAGCGTGACTGATTACACGGCCAGGTTTGACAAGCTACTTACCTATGGAGGGCCTCAATTTCAGGATGTAGCAGCTCAACGCACCCATTACCTAGTGAGTCTGAAGCCTGCTTTTCGGCGCCAGCTGAGCATACTGAGTTGGAACAACATGGAAGAGATTTATCAGGCAGCTCTTCAGTTGGAGAGGGCGGATATAGCTCTGCATGAGGAGGGAATGCAACGTGAAGGCAACAAGATAAAGGCTATTAGCCTGTCTGAGGGGCCAGGACAACCGAGTCAGCAGAGAAGGCGACCATCCCAGAGCTACTATGGGGCCACCCAGAGTCAGGCCGGCTCCACCAGATCAGGGCCGACCTACATTCCTCAGGACCCATGCCACAAGTGTGGGAGAACTCACCCAGGAGAGTGTAAGGTGCACTTGGGAGGAATATGCTATCACTGCAACGAGCCGGGCCACTATGCCAGAGACTGCCCTAGGAGAGAAGGCAGGGGAGAGCCCAGTCCGAACAATCAGTCCGAGGAGGAGGAGGAGGAACTCAGACCGGACAA